CCATAAAGGGATCTTTCTTTCACTGTTCATCTGAAACGAGTGGCCATTCAGGGGGTTTCAGCGCCTCAGAGACGACGCTTTCAACAGGTTCGTTTACACGTGTGATTCATAGGGAGTGTTCAGCGTTTAGCGATCCTAAAGATGCACTGTTATTGCACCTTTCTCATTTTGATTTAAAGATTTGAACAGGAATTTAGGGAAAGCAGTGCTCTGTTGATTTAAATGTGAAAGTGCAATACAAGTTTTTTTGTCCCTACAATGAAAATGAATATATTAGATACTCCTTTACACTTATTTTACAACATTAGTTACTTGGCAGGTTCATATAATAACTACAAAACGTATCAACTTGTGAATTATGATGTGCTATTATGGATTAGGTTACCTGGCAGTATAAAGAGAGAGCTTCACTTTTACCAGCTGCATGATTATAGTTAAGTTCACCAATTATAATTCAGACATATAATACACAGTTTAGAATTCCCGTCCATTCTCTGTAATGGTCCTTTAGGTATTTTTGATTATGTAACTTTAGTTAAAAAACGAATGAGGGACTTTTAATCATAACAGAGTATTTTCAGACTGTGGTATAATACTTTTACTTAAAGGTAGGGTAGGTAAGAATGGAGAAACCAGCTCGAGTGCGCTAGAATTTGAAAGTACACAACCGGAAAAAATCTGCCCCTTCCTTCAGACTTCCTTACAGAGCCCCTCCTCCAACACACACGAACGCGCACATGACCAATGAGGGCACAAGATAAGTTTGTGCACAAGATGGAAGGCTGACAGGCAGGTAGGCCATCCAGTTATTTTAGCCGGGCCGGCTCAGATGATTGGTCGTGCTTTTTACAGTACTACGGCTTCCACAGATGACATTTTTTTATGTATTTATTGACAAAGCATTTAATTTATTCATTGCTATCAGGATGTTAAGAGCATTCCATGGAATATAACAAAAAGTGTTTCTGAAGTGAATTACCTACCCCACCTTTAAGTAAATTATCTTAGTACTTTTTCCACCTCTGATGAAACCTCATCAGATCTCCATCAGACCATATCTGTAGCAGTTGTACAGGCTCAAATGAAAGGGCACTAACCATAAAAGACCTTGTTGTGTCTAAATTGGTGTACTTCTGTGCTAATATGTGCTGTTTTGAGTGTGTCCTAATGCAAAGTATGGCAAAATGCACTATGAGTACCTTAATGTTCTTCTCATTACGTTCAACCCTGTACACTAATCTGACTCAAAAACCGCCATCTTGGCTAATGGAAGTTGCATTTGTCAACACAGCACTACACAAATAAAGGTTGTATACGTTTTTTTTCTTCAATACTTAATAAATTGGGTTAATCGAGCAATCTGCAATCATATTATATAGCTATTGCTACAAGCTAGCTAGCTATCCAACTGCAGCTATTGTCACTTCCAGTCAGGGCACAGCAGCTGTGTGCGATTCCTAAACTGTAAAAGTGTTCACAGTGTACAACATGAAAAGTGACAGGAAAGCATCCACATTTAGACACTAGACTTCCCTCATTAGACAGTCTCTCTAACAGGTTAATTTGAGAGTGTCACTGTGAAATCTGAGATGGACAACAAGGGTCGAATGGACAGAGTTGTTATTCATGCAGCGACACTAACTGTGTGACAGCGTTTCCCTCTGTAATCAGCAGCAACAGGTCGCCACAACACACACACAACCTCTGTGGTTTGGTGTGTATGTAAAGCTAAAATAACAACATCATTAAGCCAGAGAAAGAGTACAGCCCAAATGTTTTGAATTACATTTGAATTTTCATGATAAAATATTTAAAAAACGGTTTCTTGCCACAAACTGAAGCCGCAATGGGACCAATATGAAAGCCAACATTTAAATTACCTCCAGAAACTCCAGCAAAGAAAACAGTGAGCTGCTTTATTATGGGAGTATAATGTAGCTTCAACCATAACTGAGACATAAAACTAATAGGTTACAGGCCTGGTTAACAACAGACAGCAAGGCAGAGAAATAAGCTCTGCAACTGCACTGCAAAAGGATCCAAAAATGTTGGAAGAAGTATTCAGATCCCTTCATTAGTTGAAAGGTGCTATATAAATAAACTTGCCTTGCCTTAATCAAGTACAGTATTTGAGTAATTGTACTTAGTTACAAAAGCATATTTTCCTTTGAGCCTTATGTTCATCAAGATTCAGTGTCTAATTGTCATATTGCACAGTAGCTACAGTGTAGATATGGCAATGACAAACTGAAGTCCCAGGTTCCTTCAACAATGCAACATGAATATACAGGACATCAAACAGATACAACCAATAAAAAATAGTGCAAGAAATAACAGAATAGAAATGAAATAGTGCAAGAGAATGTTGCAAGATGTGCAAGTAATTACAAATTAAATAGAAATAGTGCTAGAAGAGTCTATATCACATGTGTCAAACTCAAGGCCCGGGGGCCAAATCAGGCCCTTGGTGGATTTAATTTCGGCCCGCAGGATAATCTTTCATTCCTATTAGATCTGGCCCGCCGGTATATTGCACCTTCACTCAATCCTGAGGAGTTCCTCAGCTCAGAGCCTGACCCCAAACATTGATGACCTTGCACCCAAGATGAGATGCCAAGTATCTGGCTTGAACTAGCATCACAGAGCAGCACACTGAGTTTCAATGGATGTTTCCTTCTGCACTTTTTCTCTCACGACAGCAGGGCATGTTTGGTTTTCTCTTTGAGGGAAATAGTTTTTTTGAAGCTGTTGTTGGCCTGTGGAAAAATGTAATCATAAGAAATGACTCCGGAAAAGCTGCAGATAGAGCCATGAGAAATGAATGCAACTGATTATTTAATGTTTAATGTTGTTTTTACAGGCAATAATTTAAGCTTTGTTAGTTCCAGGTTTAATATGTGCAATAAGTTCATTTCAATAAGTTCTGCAATAAACATTGAACCAGTCCGTACCCATTTTTTTTATTTTGGCCCACTGTGTATTTGAGTTTGACACCCCTGGTCTACATACACGTAAATGGAATGAATGCGTATAATGTGTACAATTGTTTTCCCTTATTTTGTGTCTGTGTTTGCAAGATCTAACCTTTTTTTAATTGGTTACACCAAGGAAATGAACGTGTTGGGAACACTTACTAATTAGGGTTTAATCATTTTTATTTTTTAAGGTAGTGTTAGGTGTTTTTTAGCTTGTAAATTGTTTCTGCATTATCCATGAACTCTATTAGATTCTACATGTGTTAAGATATATTGTTATTACTTTCTGTATAGTATCCCTTTTCTCAAATAAAACTAAACTTTTGTAGGAGCCTCATAGCGCCATCTACAAAAGTGTATCTATAATGTTTGGTTTTATTGGTATGATAAGTGATTATCGAAACGAAATCATACAATTGTTTCTCCATTATCTCTGGGTTGGTAGCTAAAATAGCTGAGAAAATCCCAGGAGGGAAAGTGATGAAGAAACTAATCTCTTTTAAAAACTGCTGATGAGTTTGAATCCTCAGATAATGAGTCTGTCATCTGCGGCAGGAAATACATGAGTAACACTTGCAGTCCAATGCTTTTTCCGTAACAGCTAAATGTAGACCCATAAATCAGAATTTAGCTTCCGTTATTAATAATAATTCACCCATTCCCACGCGTAGGATCAGCATGTCGTGCGTGTTAACAGAGGAAATGTGATCAAGGCCAGAACCAGAGATCAGAGGGCTTTCTATCTTGATTAAATCTACATTTTGCAAAGATTGGGACTGGATTACAGCGCATGGGAAAAGCACGGGGTTAACAGAGCGAGGTCAGCATCAACCAGCTCTTTCTCTAAAATATGTCTCTTCGTTAAACCCTGATCAAAAGAGAGTTAAAGTGACACTGAATGCAGACACACACACACAGCAACTCAAGTCCCTCCAACTCGGTTCTCACAGGTGTGTTTTCACCGTGTGAGTGTGTTGAATAAGAGGTCAGAAGTACAAATATGTCCATAATGTAAAACCCAGGGTCTCTTTTTGTAGGGTAGAAACCTCCTCATGACCTCTGCTTCACTCCTTCACAGCACACACACTCTGACGCTATGCTGCCCTCTGCTGGTCACACACATTACTACATCAGAACAACTGCCTAAAGAGATTGTATAGTTCCTATTCAGTACATCTAGAGACTAAGAAGAGCCATACAAAAAAATCTAACTAGTGTTTCCAGGAGATATTATTGTCGTTGCCGCTTTCACATAGAAAACCGTACCCTTTCCATTGTCCTTATAGTCTACGAGGACAAATGTAGAAACGTATTCAGACCTTCAGTTCGAAATGTATTAACATATATTACATTGTAATTCATTCCTTATGCTTCTTAGTGTAATCCTATTCAAAAGTTATTCTGCAAAGAGCTTATTTCCCTTGCTGCAACTAGGGCTGTGTACTGGCAAGAAGCAGGGCAATACAACAGTAATTATTCATATATTGCAACGTTTTAAGGAATGCCTATTGGAGTAATGTCATATTTTACCTTAGTGGCATAGTGGACTAAGCTACAACTTTATTTTAGTGTATAACCCTGTGTTATGATAAATGATCCTTGTATTCTGAGATGATCGTCCAAGCAAAGTGTCGACCGATAACACACATAATCTTAAGGAAGTTCATGATAGCACTTTTGGCAAAACACGTGACTCAAAGATATTGAAGTGACTGTTATTTTGGATATATTGATTGTTGTGCTTTTATGTATGTCTTAATGTGTGCATATGTACAAATGTGTCTGTTGATTGTGTATATACACATATATAGGTAGGTATATACATATTTTTATATGTCTTTGTTATTGTATTCGGGATTGTGGGAAACTGAAAGATTGACAATAAAGTTGACTTTGATGTATTATTTATACATCTTCATAGTGTACACACGCTTGATCTGAAAGAAATGGGGAAAGCCATGGGATAACAGAAGAGTCGACGCTGGCTTGTGATTGGGTTTAAAACATTTAAAAAAGCACACCTACCGAACATTTTCCCGCTACGCAGAGAGAAGTTTCGTTCTGTCCGCACGGTGTCCCGTCCGTCACTTTCTCTGACTGTCGAACATAGAACCTGAACCCAACGGCTCGGCAGTTCAGTTCACAGTGCTGATCCTCGGGGACTGGGGGGGGGGGGAATAGGAGAATTTGGATTATCATTTTATTTGGGAAAAGAAGATAAAAGACAATGAAAAACTTAGAATTGGCAGTTAAATATACATCTGTACATTTAGTGAGAATGGAATACTTTTGATCATGTCTTGATAAATACAACTTTCAATATTAAAGGTCACCTATTATGCAAAATCCACTTGTTCATGTCTCTTCTACATCAACATGTGTCCCCTCTGTGGAAAGAGACTCTGAAAGCTTCAGGAACAAAGATTCTCTCTCTTTTTGTCCTGATCCATTTATATAAAAACCTGTCTGAAAATCAGCTGATCAGATTTTGGCCACTTTATGATGTCATAACGATGTTTTGGCTTGTGTAACCATTAGCCAATCACCAACCAAGGTAACCCCCCCACCTTATCACCTGAATCTCCTCCTAGAGCACCATTGAGTTCTTCTTAACCAAATATCTCTCAGAGGGGCGTGGGGAGGGGCTCCTTATTTTCATCTAAAGTAACAGACAGAGAATCAGCACTTTTGAAACAGGGCTGAAACAGAGGGGATTATGGGATGCTGCAATGATCTGTTTGGTGTTTGGAGCCAAACACTTCAGAGACATGTTTGTATATATCTGAGACCTATAATATATTGATGAAAAACAGTATCATAGGGCACCTTTAACATAAAATTCAAAAATGCGGTTGTAGAAGTGTAGAGAAGAGAATAGTAAATATATATTAACACATGTTGTAGCATGAGAATATGAAAGTACAGGCCTTTAAAGCCTGAAGATATAGGGAATTATGTCACTTTGTTACTTTTACAACCAAAACACAGTACTGCTATCTGACCCTGGGACTTTAATGAACTTTACATTTCAAAGCAATAAAATAACATAACATGTATGGTTGCTTTGTGCCTTGACTGCTGCTTTAATACTGCAGTGAATGGCAACATACCAAACATTTGCAAGCAAAAACATGTGTATAAGTACCCTAAAGTAGCAGATAATTGAGTGTTATACATTCAGAATGATTTAGAAAGAGTCTGATGAGTTCAATGACTCAGTGTGTGAATGATATTCCAATTGGGCTTTACAAGTTAGAACAAAAGTTTAGATGAAACAGACGTTAAAATCCCTTAAAGGCCAATAAATAACTTTAAATCCAGCTCTCATGTTTCAACTAGAGATTCCCTTTTTAATGTACTGACATAAAGCAGGAGTTAGCGACTACAAAGGATCCTGGTGCCTGTTCTTTACATTTCGTTCAGGTGCTTTATCAATTAGATATACTATAAGCCCCCTGAAAAGCAAAGTATTTCTTCAGCAGATGTACAAGGAGAACATTTAAGCATTGTTCAAGATGGGTGTAAAATAATCCCGACTAATCCTCAAACATTTACCTGAGTTTATTTAATCCTTACATCTGCATTAGCCGTCAGTGGAGGTCTGCAGCACAAAGATCTCAGGATACTCTCGTGTTTGACAGGATATTAATCTGCAGCCTGGTGTTTACATTAGTGTTCTCACAGAAATTACATTACAGGAGGTGTTTTGACTGTTGCCTGGATACTTCAGGTGAGTGAGGTCAGAGAGTGTGTGTTAGTGAATGTTTCTAACTGAGCGTACACACACACACACACACACACACACACACACACACACACACACACACACACACACACACACACACACACACACACACACACACACACACAATGCAGCGCTGCACAACACACCTTAGTTCATACAGGTCAGACAGAATATGATGTAACTGACACTGTAAATGTGATGAATTGTGAAAAGTGTGGGACATTAAGGTGGTTTAGCCCCGAGTCATTTTAGGGTTTTAGGATCCTGACTATCTCAGAAATCTCAGCAGGAAAGATGTGGGTACATATTTTAAAGGTCCCATGTCATGGCCATTTCTACTGATCATAATTCCATTGTTGAGGTCTACTAGAATAGATTTAAATTGTGCAATTTTCCCAAATCACATTGGTTTCTCATACAGCATCTCTGTATAGTATGTGTATTCACTCTCTGTCCTAAACGGCTTGTTGGAGCTCCTGCCCCCCCCCTCCCTGTGAGCCCACTGTGCTCTGATTGGTCGGGACGTTGCGAAGCTCAATGATCTGGCTTACTGGTGTGGTTTCCGGGTCGGTGATACAGCGAGACACAGCTCATCCTGAGCACACACAAACACTCACAGCCGAAGTCAAAACAATAAGTATGGCTTGATATTGAGTAAGAAAAAGGTTTATAACGCTGTGAGAATGGGTCTGCGGAGAGCATTTCTCCGCCATCCCAACTCGTCTATTACCAGCGTTCAGGGAGCTCTATGCAAGTCAATGGGGACTCCCTGTTAGTTAGCCAAGGGATCCTGGTGTGGGAGGTGCTCCGCGGATTGGTCCATTTGGGCCAATCCGGTCATTTGTTGTTGATTTGGGTGTTCACACGTCACAGAACCCAGGAAGCAAACAATGGAAAAAGAGAAATCCCCAACGAGGCGTTCTGGGGCAGCATAGACAGGTCTTTTCTGTGTTAGAGTTTTACTCGCTACAGGGTGTACTTTGAGGGTTTTTGACTCTGCAGACCGTTTACATGCAGAAAAACCTTCATAACACACAAGGGGACGGGTAATAACCAGAAAAGCATGACATGGGACCTTTAAGTCACTTTATAAACACATTTTCATAAACAGACTGAATGTGGTCCCTGTCTTATTTGAACTCTTTATTATTGATCTGTTAGTCCACCAAATTACTCACAATGTTGGAGCTATTCATTGTTTGATAGTGTTACATTTAAACATCTCTTTTATTGCTGGTATGAATACAGTAGTTTGATGTTTACTCTGCGTCATCATTGCAGTTCATTTAAGTAGCTGTTTTTGAAGGCAGCTTTAGGCACCAGGTGATACAGAAGGTAATTATTTGTATGAAGGAGAGATTGGCAACGGAAAGAGCTATGTTTTTGTTATCAGGGCAAGAGAGGAGGAAAAGGCATTCATTATATGTCTGGTTTGAGAGTCGAAAATTATGAAAATAAACCGGAGAAAATAAATGAGGTTGAAATGTGTGGTTCTGAGAGTCTGTGTCTTTGTCCCCCTCAGGATAAATTGTTGACCATCATCTGGACTACATTACAATTTGTCAAGGACTTTAAGTAGGTTCATGATTTGATAAAAGGATGGTCTTTATTGTCCCCAATAGGAAAAACAATTTGCTCCCCTCCTGACAGACAATATAATACATCATTAGAAATGGAAACCACAATACAGAAAAGGATGATGACCAAATATTAGAAAACCAATTTTTACTCTGTACTTTGTGTTTAGTGCTGCTAACCCAGTAAATATTAGCTGCTAAGCATTCGCATGTTTCCTTTTAAATTGTCATTAAGTCCAAGCCAAAGTATCTTTAAATGTGACATGTTCACATACTGTACAATAACTCACCCTCGTTGAAAGGTTCCCACTCGTACAGTCTGCCCATGAAAGGTTTGTTGTTGTGTGAAGAACACTGAACAGCCCGGATGTGTTTGCTGGATGGAGGGCAGGCCTGAGGAAGGACCAGAAACATCACACACACACACACACACACACACACACACACACACACACACACACACACACACACACACACACACACACACACACACACACACACACACACACACACACACACACACACACACAACGACACACACACACACACACACACACACACACACACACACACACACACACACACACACACACACACACACACACACACACACACACACCACACACACACACACACACACACACACACACACACACACACACACACACACACCACACACACACACACACACACACACACACACACACACACACACACACACACACACACACACACACACACACACACACACACACACACACACACACCCACACACACACACACACACACACACACACACACACCACACACACACACACACACATAAATCCTTCTGTTGCTGCAGCAGGCTCACATCTCTCATTGTTACACTGCCATTGAACTTCTCAGTTTTAACAGTTGTAATCCGGTGATGTAGCTCAGTTTTCTTGCCAAAGGTCTTTAGATTACAATATGTATAAAGGCTTGCCACTCTGACATCCTGCTATATCTCCTTTGTCTAAACAATCCGCGGGTCTGCTTTACTTTGCTTGAACATCTCTGTCATCGCAGAGCGGAGACAATTTACAGAACCAGACACTGTTTGAATTTACTTCAATGCACAGGATGGATTCCCTAAAGTCAGATCAGATAAGCAGAGCCAGCACACTTTACAGCTGCTGTACCACTGATAAGGTTTGCTAAAGACTACTGGTTCACCCATATGAAGAGACCCAGTTGAAAATATTTAGTGTAAGTATTAAATGCCTTTTAAACTTAACATATGTTTGTATTTTGGACAAAAGGCAAAAACTGAACTTAAGATCTCTTTTTTGCATTGCTAGTCAGTCCAGAATGACCTGAAACCCCACAATGCCTTGCAAAGCGCTGCATAGCAACACCTGCAGTGGGTCTTAGGCCTAGGCTCCACGGGGACGAAAACGGGTTGAATCCGCATATTTCTCATGCGTATAGCCCTTTAAGCTCGACGACGCCGTAAGGGAAACGTAGAAACAGACCCCGCAAACGACAACGGGTCCAAAGGTGGATAGATCTGGGAACGGAGCGCTCTGGGGGGTCCAACGGGGCCGTGGGGTCGCCTATACGGTCATCCGTTTCATAGCCCCGCCTCTCCCCGCCTCTCCCCACCTCTCCGCATACCCCGCATCATTGCTGATGTGTTTCGTTAACAACAACAATAGCTATTTTAATTACCTCTCAAACTACCTAAACTAGTTATAAATATGTTTATTTTTACTGTCGAGTCATCATTACTGGATCATCTGCTGCATGAGACAGACACTGACGCTGTGAGAAGAGAGGAAAAAGAGATAGGCTCTGTGTATTTTATTATCATATATCATTATATCGTCGTTATTCATTTGTTTTAAAGCTCAATAAATAACAAAGAAGACCTTTGACCGGCACTTTTATAATTTTGTCCGGAAGATTTAAACTTTAACACACGCTGACTGGCGAAAAACTCTGCCCGGATCCCTCGGCCCCCACCGCTGAGAATAAACAGAAGTGCAGCCATGACAACCATTCTTCTTCGCTGCTTTTGTGGAGGAAGTTGCAGCTACAGTTACAGCGCCACGTACAGGTTCGGCATATGTACTGCAGCTTTTCCAGCGGTTGGATGTAAACGGAGCCGTCTCGTGGAGCTTGACACAATCCGGTATATATTGCGTGTGGGCGGAAGGTTTTTTGCGGTTGCGTTTGTGTTACTCCGATGCGTTTTGCCGTATGCGTTCCCATGGAGCTGGGGCCTTAACTGTAAACTCTCTAGCTGTGGCCCCACAAACAACAATTGTACACTTTAGTAAATGTTCTGTTGCACTGTGGAAAAAACTATTATGTCTACTTCTAATATTTCTATCTTTTGCTCATTGTGCTTATTTTAAATGCCGATGGCTAGCCAACATGCTAAGAATGTACATAAGCACACAATCACACACTTTCCTGTGTTTTTCAAATAAATATGATTTGATACTTTTATAATTTCTTATTCTAATAACTTGCATACATTTGGAAGTCATATTAAGTGTGAATGTTGTACTGTTGGCAGGGCGTGGGGCATTCAGTTTTCATTTCCATTGCCAACAACTACACGGCTGCTTTTGTGCGTATGACAATAAAACCGTTGAATCATAAATTCAAGGTTCAAGGCTTTTATTGTCATGTGTGCATAGCTACAGTGTAGTTATGTCAATGAATATCTTAGGTCCCAGGCTCCTCCAACAGTGCAACACACAATAAAACAGATCAAAGAGTGCAAGTAAATACAAATGTGAGGCGGCAGTGGCTCAGTCTGTAGGGACTTGGTCTTGGAACCGAAGGGTCGCCGGTTCACGTGCCGATTGGACCAAAACAAAATAATAATAATGGAGTGAGCTGGTAGCTGGAGAGGTGCCTGTTCACCTCCTAGGCCACTGCCGAGGTGCCCTTGAGCAAGGCACCTAACCTCGAAACTGCTAAACACAACAGAGTGGAGAAATGTCTTCTGAAATAGTGCAAGAAGAGTCTATATACAAGTAATGTTGAATGTACATACGTTGCTGTTGCAGACCCTGTGGTGCGCCTGCTCCCCGCTGCAGGAGGAGCCGGGCAGGGGGCTGTAGGGTCTCTCCGGGGGGGATCCAGAGGTCTGGAGGCTGGATCCGGGCCCCTGCTGGTCCTGAGTCTGGGGGCCAGAGCCCGGCTGGTAGAGGGGGGCCCAGACCTGGTTATTCCTGGGTGGCATGAAGGGTCTGCCGGGGTGATGGAGGCTGTTTGAGGGGTTCTGGTTGTGGTCTGCAGTGGGGGAATGGTGTTGGTGGTGTTGTTGTTGTTGTTGTTGTTGTTGTTGTTGGTGCTGGTGGTGACGGGCTTCAGCTGCAGGGGAGCGTCTCTGTCTGTGAGGGCGAGTCGTCTCTGAGCTCCGACCCGGGTGCGTCTGCAGAGGAGCAACATGAGGAGCCGACCCGTAGCCGTACCGCCCCGGGACGATGTGAGGGACCCTCCTGAAGACACACACACACACGGAGATCAACAACCTACTGTACACACTAACACTTTATTCATGAGTCTCAGAAGATGTATTCAGATGCTTTAATTCAGTAAAAGCAGTACTACCAACTTAATACAAATACAAAATAAAGTAAAAGTAATACTCTGTTATAATTAAAAGTCCTGAATGTGAAATGTTACTTACAATAGGAAATATTTTAAGTATTAAAAAGTACTTAATGCAGAATATTTTGTATTGAAAATAATACACTTATTAAAAGGAAAAGCAACAACTCTTAATACTTTAGAAGCTGGAAAATATATGAAATATTTGCACAAAAAAATGACTAAACGATTATCATAATACATCAATTATGTATCACCATTAATTGTCAGTCAATTGACCAATCAGCTTATAGTTTTGGTTACACCAGTACTTTTGTTTCTTCTTTGTGACGAAAATATAAATAATTTGTAAAGTAACTAATAGCTAAAGTACCAGGAGCTAAAAAAAGAACACCTAACTAAAGTAACGTAGCTCAATGCTGTACTTAAGTGCAATACTGGAGTAAAAGTACTTTAAGTTACTGTACACCACTGGATGATATGAAAGTGTCTGGAACTGTCAACTATAGCAAATATAATTGCCTCCTCTTATAACCAAGCAGAGATTGAACAACTGAAGTCTTTTGGATCTTCTTTAATTTGAGTTGTTAGCTAAATGTCCTCTCTTTCTGAGGAAACTGACACAACTTCTGAGGAGCGTCCTGCCCCCGGTAGCAGGACTCTGAGGGGCTTTTGTCGAGTTTTGGGCTCCTAAAGTTCCAACTCAAACAACCCCCCATTACTCATCTGTCAGGGCTATTTGTTTAAAGGCAGGCACAACAGGAAGGAGGTCACAAAGCTGCCGAGCACAAGCCGAGCCTTTGACTTCGTCATGAAAGAGTGGAGGGCAGTCAGAGCGATGGCTCCAAAGAGTCACTTTCAGACCGAGCTGCTCGGCATGCAGCACAGACACAGTCTTTAAGGACTTCCAGGTCTAAACAAAGACAAAACCTACTAATACAAGACTGAACGTAGTTTTTCAATGACCATTATGATATAAAAATGACTTCAAACAGACAGTGACATGTACTTCTTGAGTGTTTAAGTTGTAACAGGCAAAAAAGATTATGATTCACAATTCAATATAATAGCTCAATAATTATGAACCTATTTGCGCCTCCTTGCAGAGCTCTTAAGGCAGCAGCTATTGAGATGTAACAAGTTAAAGTTGTTTGTTGTTTTTTTATGTTGTGGTGGTGGAAAGAGCTTTTTAAAACACATCTACAATATCCTATTGAAATTCAACTTGTTTTGGATTGGGTTATGGTGAAGGCCGTACAATATCATAAACTTAATTGTCAAACTCGTCAACCATTAATTATTACCCTTTGTGCTCCGCATGTGCGTTTGTTATGATTCTTCATTTATTTTGTTAAGTGTTTATTTTCTCACCTGTTAACATGCAAACATTTCCTCCTAATAAACTCCATGATTGAGCTTTCATTATGAATATGTTGCTGAACAGAACAAATGTGTGTAACCTACAGAGCCATTATCTCTATTGAAGAATGTGAATGTGTTAAATTATGATTTCTCTTCACATGTCAGGTGGTTTTGGGATTGTTATTTGGATTGGATATTATTTGATTAGTTTTGTCTCCTGTTATCTAATTGTTGTCCAATTGTTGTTTTTGAATTCCCTCTTTGTATTTCCTTTCGTGAGGATGAATTGTTATGTAATCAACATCTGTTATTTGTTTTGTTCTTTTAGTACCAACCAACTAAATAAAATGTAGAATCGAAATCACAGCTTTGTCAAATCCCATATGCATGATTTCAACACCTGAGTTTTTGCGGGGGGTTTTAGATCTTAATTAATCGTATTCCCCTGTGCAGGACGATGATACAGTACCTCCGTCCTCCAGGCCTCGCCTCCTTCCCCTGCCTCAGATCTCCTCTCCTGCTGCTGTTTGCACTCCTCCCTGCGCTGCGGTGCAGAGGAACGGTCGGCCTCAGCGCCGAGATGATGTGTCCCGGTTGCTGGGGGTGAACACCCTCTCTTCTGGAGGGGTATTGTGACGGCGTGTAAACAGGCAGACAGGGCCGACTCTGCTCCTGAACTCCTTTTCCACAGGTCCTGGAGCAGGCTGACCAGGAGCCCCAGGCACCCCAGGATCCCTGAACTTCTCCATGCTCGGCCCTGAACTCCTGTTGGGGCTCTGGCCTCTGAGAAACCTGCAAAAAAAACGAGATTAATGACACCACAGGGCGCAAAAAAACAGGACAGTGCCAGACAAAGTGGATGCCAAGGATGGATGGTAAACCTCCATCAATGAGACTTTAATCTCCTTAAATTATGGCCTTGTATAAAAGCTTCAGCCGGTGACCTCATCGTCCCAACACTGTCCATGAAACAGACCTCTGTTCATGCTTATAAAGCTCTGATTTGGCTGATTACTGGGTGTCTGTTAGTTGCAGCTCCCCTATTGGCTACCTGCGTTTCTCACTGTTGACTCTTTGGCTCTGTGCGACGTATTAGCAGTGATCACAGCAGTCTCTGTTTAAGGAACCTGCCAGGAGGAGGCCTCTGCCAAGTCAGATTTATCCGTGGAGCCGCGTGGAAATCCTGCTCTTTAAGGAGCACTTTGTCCCCATTCACTGCAGCCTCTCCGGGCGAACACATGGCCGTAGTAAAAGCTGAGCTGCCTTTGACTTCTGGCGAAGAGAATACAGAAGCAGGAGGAGGGAGAGTTGGCAGGAAGTGGCTCTGCTGTCAATCAGCCTGTGCAGCTATTCAGATCAGACCCTTTGTAACTCAACGCCACTGTCATCTCCAGGGTCAGCCACAGGTCACACAGCTGGACTCCTGGTTGAGAACACATGGAGCCGACTAGCACGCCTCCCTCTCTCTATCCTGAATGTGTAGTTGATCTGTCAGTCTTCCTCCACCAGGAGCATCCACCCCTTTCCTCTGAGTGGTGCCTGTTGCTTCAGAGGTCAAGAGGGCTCTGCTGACAGCTGACAGCAGCCCTCTCTGTTTCAGAGCTGCTCACTTGTTAACTTCAAGTTGGCAGATTAGCACCACGATCACTTTCCCCCTGGGAAAACTCTCACTGTTCACACAGAACCCTGCTAGGTTTGGAAGTCATATTTGCCCCTTTTGTTTGTTTGTTTGTTTGTTTGTTCACCATGTAAAGCGGCCTTGGGTCCCTTGAAAGGCGCTATACAAATTTCATCTATTATTATTATTATTATTATTAATAGATTCTTCACTGGATTATATGATATATACTAAGTGTCTATACTGGTCTATAATGTTTTCATATGTATACTACGGTCTATAGTGTCTATATCCTACTGTATATATATTTCTATCATCTCTATAGTGGATTGCACATTTATACAACTGTTCATAGTTTTATACGTATAAATATTGTTCACTTTAGTTGTTCATGTGTCATATTTCTAGATAATACCTGCATTTAGTTGTCCCAGTACTTTTGAATCTAATCTAATGTAATCATTTACAGCGGTATTTGTCTATGCCAACAAGACACGATCATGCATGCCATCTCTAAGAAGATTAGGAAGAAGTTCCACTCTTCTGTGCCAACCAAGCGCTTAGACAGAGAGATAAAACAACAAAACTCCTGGAAATATTCAAGGGAGGTCTTGCGTCGTGTGTGTGTCAAACAGATCACATACGAGTCAGCACAGATATATTTTCTTCCAACACTTGCTACACAACTGCTGCTCACCTTCCTGTGGTCTGTGGTGTGTTGGCAGTGCAGGAGGTCGGACCAAAGCAGCAGCAGGAGGACAGAAGCTCTGAGGGAACAAAACAAAAAGATTACTGGTGATACTGGTAGTTTTATTAATGTGGGATAATGTTGTAAAGAGGCCCTTTTATGCTTTTGGGGGTTTTCCCTTTCCTGTAGTGTGTTATATAGGTTTTAGTGCATGTAAATGGTCTGCAAAGGCGAACATCAGAGCAGAATAGGCTCTGGTTTCAGACAGAGGGTGAAAAGAGGTGCTGCAGCACAGGCAGTATGAGAAAAATAAAGAGCTTTTTGAACATTAAAGCATGGAGACATGTCACAGTTGAGACACTACATACTGATATGAACCTGAACATCAGCAGGAGAGGACTCTTTAAAGTAGAGACACTACATACTGATATACACCTGAACATCAGCAGGAGAGGACTCTTTAAAGTAGAGACACTACATACTGATATACACCTGAACATCAGCAGGAGAGGACTCTTTAAAGTAGAGACACTACATACTGATATACACCTGAACATCAGCAGGAGAGGACTCTTTAAAGTAGAGACACTACATACTGATATACACCTGAACATCAGCAGGAGAGGACTCTTTAAAGTAGAGACACTACATACTGATATACACCTGAACATCAGCAGAATATGACCCCGTTAAAATCAAGAATACACATGGCATTGGGATCCTAATGAAGTATCGCCACATTTTAAAGGGTAATGAAAGAATGACACGGTTACATAGGGCTGGGTGATGAGGGGAAATCAAATATGATGATATTTATACATCAATATAGGGACGATTTTGTAGGTTTTCCCTATTGATGCTTTTTCATAAAATATTCACAAAATAAAATGTTTGATGTATGATCCTTAGTTAGGTGGATTTAATGAGTACTGATCAGTTAACCCTAATGCAGTCTTTAAAACCAGGAAAAGACACTTGTTCCGTAAAACGATATCAGAAATGTAAGAAGATATTATCAAGTCTCATATCACGATTTTGATATAATATATATATTGATATGTTGCCCAGCCATACAGTTAAATGAAAATACAATCACATACATACATTTGCATTTAAATAGATATTAGGACAGACATATTTTACAAAAACAAGTTCTTGAAATAATCACGCTGAAATTACCTGGAAATCCAGACACAGGCTTCCTGCATAGCTCCTGGATTCCTGAAGCACACTTAAGTGAAAATAGAGATGTTTACATGAGCATGCTCCAGAGTGGCAATGACACGTTTTAACACAAATGCTGTCTGTGTGGCCGCAGTGCAATGGCAGTGTTAACTTACATCCTCTAGAATATCACAATTACACACAAAAAAGGAGAATAGTAACAAAATGACTTTCATATCGGTGTGTTGAAATATACCAGGAATGTCAACACCCTGTCACTTTTTCACCTGCCACTACATTCCTCTGCCTGGCAGCCTCTAAGACACTGACTCAGGAAAAAAATTAACGACTTGTCGCCACTTGACCATGTGAGTTGACCTTTCTGACCTCTGACTCCTAAAGAGGGAGCCCCCCCCTGCTGGAAATTAGACAGCAGGTCTGTACTTTCACTTTACCTCAGCTTCGTCTAAAATTAAGTGCATTGAACCAGACATGATGCTCAAAAAGTTGTGCATACTTTGAAACGTGCAAACCAGGTTAAAACACACATTTGTAATGATAATATAAAGGGAAACTCACGATAAAAGCTAATTAATAAATCAACATTAACAGTGCATATCATAATGTCGACGTACCTGCAGGTTATAAATGTTTTGGTGGAGTGTTTCCTACTACACTTCACTTTTAATCCAGTGTATCCAACTATCCACGCGCAGGTATCCTCATGCTCGAAACTTTAATCCAGGTGCAGATTCAGAGCGTCCCGCCGGAGATTTTGGATTAAGCCATTTACCGGTAAATGAGTAAATCCGTATCCAGAGCAGTGAATCAAATCCCGGTGCGGTAGAGAGTCCTGACCTCGGTCATCGTGGGGATTCCGGCGGTTCTGCTCATTTTACGCTCAAAGACAAAATGACAGAAAGCTGGAAACTCACTGCAGACTGAAAAACAACCTCTGCTGCGCCCTCTGCCGCAACAACCACTCTCTCTGAGCGTGTGTGTGTGTGTGTGTGTGTGTGTGTGTGTGTGTGTGTGTGTGTGTGTGTGTGTGTGTGTGTGTGTGTGTGTGTGGCATGTCCGTAAGTGTGTGTGTGTCTCCTCCTTTTACCACTACGTGAGTGGCGTTTACCGTAGACAGATTTTGATGTTGTTCTTTTCTACCGCTCACCCAGCGTCTCTCTCGCAGTGAAGTGTCCATGTTGGAGCCACAGGTGAATGATCTCATGTAACAACTGAAGAGGAACAAGAGCTCAAACACTGCATGGAAACTCTGATGGTGCGCAAAACGGGATTTGTGGGACCTTTTAGCATTTAAAAACCTAGAAATCCTTGAACCAATCAACTTCATTCAGTTTGGACCATAGACTGTATAAAGGTTTGGACTTGTTTTTCGATTGGACTGCTCTGTTGTGGCTAAACACGTGACCGGAATGTCAACGTGTTATGTTTTATGTATGACATCAACTTGGAGTTATTTTTGATTTACCAAGCCCTACAACTTTGTTAACACGGAGTAGAAAGCAGCAATCACACAAATAAACACTAGGTTAAAGGGTCAGTCTATCTAAAATCATAACGAATATATTTGTTATTATTATTATTATTGAATCATTGCATCTGTAATTGAACCCATGTTGTCCAGCCCAAGTTGTCTGACCTTTAAATAAGTGAGCACTTTTTGGGGCATTTCTTTATGAGAATTTAACTTGTTTTGCCATATTGTTTTATAAATCTGTTTAGGCTACTATTGAGAATGTTAATATGTTTTACTTTATGTGCTTAAAACGATGTTTTCTAAATAGCTTTAGTTACTGAAATGAGATTTCTCCCTCAGAAAGCTTAGCTATAATTCAATTTCTTCCAGTGTGAAGTAATCAGTAACTTGCAAAACATTCAAAGTTTCTCTCCCAACACTGCCCTGTCTATCTGGGTCGTATGCCAGTGCCTTCATATCCATACTGTATGTAGTGTCTCTACCAGTGGGGTTGTTATGTTAATGTTGCTCAGGAAATTGCCTCAATACCCAAATGTTTCCAAACCCTTCACAGGCAAATCAGCCTCCAATTAAAGCTGTTTGATGAATTAATGCACCGGAGGACCCATTGAAGGCCACTCATACGAGCTTTGGAGAGGACTGAACAAAGACATACTACACAGAAAACAAATATCTGCAGACACTCTAACAGTATGATACATTGTGCATTACTTCAAAATGTAAACAAGGAAATACATTTGTACTGGTTATAAAACTTGAACCAACCAGCTCCGGTAGCTAAAATAATGTAGATATTTAAAAAACAATCTTAGAAAAAAGCTAAATATTTGTTTTTCCAATCAAATGTTAATGTTTCTTTAAGTATAATGCATTTTTAAATGTATAAAGAAATGCAAATACAGATCTGGATGGGTTATTTGTTGCTGTGCACAGCTTACAGTAAACAATGAACTTTGAGATGGAACGAATTGTCCAAAGTGTTGGAAAGAGGAAACGTAATGGGGGGTAAAGAGTAATGGGTTCATTTAAAAACAGTAGTGTTTTTCACAAGCATGGGTATCAAATTAGCATGGCAATCTCCATATTTGGTTATTGATTGAGACAGCTGACATCACCATCAAATCCTTAAACCCCTCCTCTACCAGCACAACACACTGAATAAAAACAACAGATTGATTGTGGGTTATTACTCACCAAGACAAATGGACGTTATGTTAATGTGTTGAGTCTTTTGAACTGTGTGTGACTTCTTTCCAGCGATGAGATATTGTTCTCCTTCTGCCTCTGCGTCTGCAAGCTGTCACTTCTCAGTGAGTGCTGTTAGTGTTTTGGGACGTTGACAGCCACAGTCCCATAAAATGACAAGATGTGTCAGCACAAAACAATGTTGTTTATCACAGTGGCTGAAAATAAACGTGCTGAACCAAGTGGTTTCTTGTCAGAGAAGAAAAGAGCAAACATCACTACTGGAATCATGTTTGTACGAGATCTGATGCCCCAGAAACCAACACATTATGCCATACTGTTTAAAGTAAATATCTGAGGAAAGGTTTTGTAAATTTGTCTGAAAATCTGGTTTGGATTAAACTTGCTTGAGACAGTGTACTAACTAACTGGATGATTGAGACAGTTCACAGACAAGTATAACACATCTTTGAGAGCTTATTTAACTGCAGTGGTTTAATCGTGGACTGCCCAGACTCCCCGCCGTTTTAAGTATTTTACTGGGGAATTTGTTTGTTTGGGTGATTTTTGGATCATCCCATAACCGGAAAATGTGGTATTTTCTAGAGGAAGCCGTGTCTGCCTTATCACATGTACAGTATCTCTAGAAATGAGGCGTGTGGTGCAGTGGGTTGTGCGTTGGTGTTCAGATCAGGGGAGCACAGGTTCAAACCCCACTGCAGTCAGCATGTCGTTGTGTCCCTGAGACACTTCACCCCAAATTGCTCCTGTGGGGATTGCCCACAGTATTGAGTATGTAAGTCGCTTTGGATAAAAGCGTCTAACAAGTGACATATAATGTAATGTAAAATGAGGGGAAGAATGTCTTAATAATAAATTAATACATTTTATTTTTATCGCGCTTTTCTAAACCCAAAGACGCTTGACATGCATTCTAATTTCTGCAACCAATAGACTATCAAAAGGCCTTACATTACATTACTTGTTGGACGCTTTTATCCAATCCCCACAGGAGCAATTTGGGGTGAAGTGTCTTGCCCAGGGACACAACGACATACTGACTGCAGTGGGGTTTGAACCAGTGCTCTACTGATCCAAACACCAACGCACTAACCCACTGCGCCACAGTGCCGTTTCTTTGAACGGCTCTCAGAGTTTCAGAAGTCAAATTCTGTGTGTTTTTGTCCTGCTGAATAGTTGGATTTTCTGATTCTTTTATATCTTATGACTACGTTTAGATAATGAAAGCAGTAGGAGGGTTGAAATGCTGCCCCCTAATTGGTTGGAGTCCACACCTTACCCAAGAAGACAACCAAGTAGCACGGAGAAGAGACCAACATTTTTTAATATGCATCCTGATGTTCTGTAAGTCAAATACCTGTGAGCAAGGCATTGATCTCCAGTGGAGTGGATGACTCTGGACATTAGTGCTGATCCACTCCTGATGTTTTTTGACACTCCATCCCCCTGCGGTTTCTCCTCCAGGACTTTTGTTGTGTTCTCCTAAGGCATACCTGATTAAATAAGGGTTCAAATGTTCAGTTTGAGTGAGGGGAGCAGGTGGTGAGAAACTGGTGAAGCCTCTACGCCTTCAGGGACATTCCTGACGGAGTTCACACCATCCAGAGATTCTTCATGGTTTCTCTGCCTCATGGGAGTAAAAATGTTATATAATGCTGTCCTTCAAAGTTACTGTGAAGGCTGAAAGAGGAACCAGAAGAGATTAAGACTGGAGCCACACGAGAACGGTAACGCAAACTAACCGAATTCGATATCAAAAAGGTCTTCCGTCCAAACGCAATAGGCACCAGAAACATGTCCGTTCACACGAGACCGCTGCAGTACATATGCCGGGCCTGTAAGTGGCGCTGTACTTCTGCCACAAAATACACCAAAAGCAGCAAAGAAGACTTCCCGCGCAGGGTTGCCATGGTTACCCTTCTGTTTATTCTCCGCGGTGGACGCTCTGGCTCTTTTTCTCCCTCCCCGAGGCAAGCGTGTGCTCCTGCTGTAAATCTCTCCGGTAGTCCACCAGCAGATGAAAAACACCCACCTCTCCGCCTCTTCCAAGGGACGAGGGGACCGTGCGGCAGAGTTTCCGTTAAAGTTTAAATCTTCCGGACAAAATTAGAAAAGTGCCGGTCAGAGGTCTTCTTTGTTATTTATTGAGCCTTAAAACAAATTGATAACGACTTTATATAATAATATAAGAATAATACACGGAGTCTCTCTTTTCCTCCCCCTCTTCTGACAGCCCAGCAGCTGATCTCTGAGCAGGAGAGGTGCGGAGAGGCGGGGCTATTGCTTCATCGTTATCAGGAAATGATCGTATAGGGCGTAGACACGGAGCCGTTTGGCCCCCCAGAGCGTTACGTCCCCAGATCTACCCATCTTGGGACCCGTTATCGTTATCTGCGTTTCCCTATCGGCCTCGTGTGGCCGAACCGTCTATATGATAGAGAACTGTAGCGGATACGACCGTTACCGTTCTCGTGTGGCTGCAGCCTAAGTTGAGCATTAACATATGTTGTAAAGGAAACAGGGGAATACTGATTCAAACCCACGTGACGCCTGGTGACTTCTTCACACCTAGACAGTTTTTCGGGGATTCATTCAAACCATTTAGACAAACTGAGTGTTAATACAGAATTGTTTAATTCTAAGTACAATACAGAAAAATCAGTGGTAAACAAAGGAAGGTCCTCGTCAGGCAGGAGAAAGTGAGATGCATGACACGTTAATTGAGACATGAAAAATCATTCTGGTCTCGACAAAAGAGACGCCGGTCATTTTCAGCTGATGACAGTAATGGTGCGGAGGGGGGGGGTCATTCAGAAAGATTTTTAAAGTGCAGAGGACCACAATGCACTGTGAGTCCATACGTCCCTTTGACTTTCTTCAAGTATGTTACAGCTCCGAGCTTTGAGTGAAAATCTACATTCAATCACGATCATTTCTTCTTTTAAACAATCTACATATTTCCATCTGAAAGATCTCCCCACACACTTTCTGATTCCAACCATTTCAATAACTGATAGTGATTAGTCACCGAGTGATGATGTGTTAATAATGGTTTGTCCACATGTGTGTGTGGTCGTAGTGTAGAACCTCAGTCCTCTTCACTTGGTCCCGGAGAGTTTGGCAAGGCTGGTTTTCCGGAAGGCCGCTTGGTCCCTCATCTCCAACACACTGTCCCTCACCATCTCTGCGAACATGGAGGGCCACAGCTTGTGCAGGGCCTCCCCCTTCAGGTTGGTCTCTGACGCCCTTTGGACCAGATCCTGGAGGTACTGCTGTATCATGGCGGCGCGATCCGACGACTCCACAGTGCCCTCCTGTGAGGAGAGGAAGATTCACTTGTTCATTTAGGTGAGGGGCAGTGACAGGAATATGGCAGTAGTAAAAGGTAAAGCCTCCACACTACGTATTGTGAGTGACAAGACCAATGTGGATCTAGATTCGGTAACACTTTATGGTAAGGGTACATGAATCATCATGAATTCATGCATGAAAAAGCATGAATTCATTCATGTAGTACTTCATGAACTATCAGTAATGTACAAGGATTAATATTATCTCATGCATGACTTAATGCAGGAACAATACCTTAATTAATGCATCAACTAAGGTATCTCAATCATCATGACTTCTGAGTTATTAATGATGTTCATGTCTTCTTCATTTAGATCTGCAGTTAAAGTGACAGGCCAAAAAACTGACCAGTCACAGCAAAGTGTTGTAATCATGATTAACTAAGCATTATTTTGTCATTACTTCATCATGTTTGTGCCCCTTCAAATAAAGTGGTGAGCCGGTCTGTCGGTCACAGCAGTGCATGTATTCTGTTGAATTCAAAGTGTTGTAATCATGATTAACTACAAATCAATAATTTGGCGGCTTAGGGGAAACCGAACTGAGAAACTTTTGAAAGAACATCTTGCAGTTATAGAATGGACTTACTGGCAGAAGTCATGATGATTGAGCAGTGGCGAGCCGTGAGCTTTATACCTAGGCCCTCTGACCCCCACCCCTTCCCTCGAAAAAAAGACGTTATTATGTCACAGCGTATACTTCAGCGGAATATCAAAACAACGGCCCAGGGTGCAAAACGCATCAATGACAGCGACCCTCTACCACACAAAACGACACCTGTGAACCCAATTTGTGTTCTTTGACATTGAAAATGATATTGCATTGTGTTTGTTACTTTCATTGCAGTTGTATGTCTTAAGTGTAATTTGGCATGCTTTTATTTTGAAGGCGAGTTCACGCTGTTGACAGGAAGTTGTTGTTGCTATGGAAACAAGAAAAGTTTCACAGCGGGCGGAACTCGTCATAAAGTCCGCGATAATAAAACCCACCCATTTAGAGGGAAGATATGATTGGTCAATTGTACTGTCATTTGACATTACTCTCTCGTTCAGTTACTATAGCGGGCCCTCTGTGAATCGCAGAGAGGCCCGCTATAGTAACTGACATTCAAACAGAGACTGAACAGGCAGATTCGAAGGATTTATTTCTTTGGAAATGTTATTTTATTAAATCAAGTTTTTTTTCGGTAAAACTAATGAAAAATATAACAAAAATAATATTAAAAAAATATATATTTAAAAAAAATATTTTTTTTTTTAATGTTTTTAAATATTATTTTTTGGAATATCTTAGGCCCTCACAGAGGGCCTAGAGGGCCCTGACGGCTCGCCACTGTGATTGAGATACCTTAGTTGATGCATTAATTAAGGTATTGTTCCATTAAGTCATGCATGAGATAATATTAACCCTTGTACATTACTGATAGTTCATGAAGTACTACATGAATGAATTCATGCTTTTTCATGCATTAAGTCATGCATGAATTCATGATGATTCATGTACCCTTACCATAAAGTGTTACCGTTGCTTGGTTTTTCAGAAAGTCAAACAGCCCTTGTTTGCAAATATTACTGGGGAGCATGTTTATTTAATACAGGAGTCACAAATATGTCACATTTAAAATGCTTATTTACAGCAGATAAAATATGCTTTCATTGTCAGATTTAGTTTTTTTAAATTACCGTCCTAAAGCTATTTTTAAAGAGATTTGGAAAAACGTAATCCTTAACTTTTGATGACTTGAGATGAATAAACTTAAAAAAGATTTTTGCCAATTTATGATAAAATATGTAATTCTGTTGCAATTGTATTGCCGTTATGGAGAAACAATTATTTTGCTTCATTTCTTTATTTTATTGGATAGAGCAGCCGGAGATAGACAGGAAAGACGAACAGAGAAAGGGAACAACATGCGGCCATGGACAGCAGTTAGGATTTGACTAAGGGCCGTTGCTGTAAGGCCTTATATGGACAACAGGTTGATACAGGCGAGCCACAATGGACATTTTACAGAGACATTGTGGGTGTCTGGTATGTCCCTGCACAACTTAAGAATACTTTTCGGGCTGGGATATGGATTGATGTGAGACTGAAATCGTTTTTTCTAACTTTTAGGTCACTTTGTTGCAGTCTCTCAAACAACAAGGCTACTATAATAATAATAATAATAATAATAATAATAATAATAATAATAATAATAATAATAATAGTAATAATCAATTGTATTTATAAGCACACTTTTCATTTGAGTATACAAATCTGAAAGTGCTACAGAGTAAAATGGTTGAAACAAAACAACAAAAAAACAAAAATATATATATAATAAAGTAAACGTTGACATCCATCTGAATTTCTTTCTTCCAAGGACCGAATGTTTTCCCCATTAATTGTGGGGTTTCTTTGGGAGTCTAAGGACAGTGTCCGCTCTGTAAAGCCCCCTCAGACAAATGTGTATTTGTGATATTGAGCTAGATGAATAAAATATAATATATATATATATATATATATATATATATATATATATGATTGATGTGCCACTGCTGAACAGTGTGCATTGAGCTGACCTCCGGGCTCTCTGCAGCGCTGCAGTCTCTGCTGGGGTAGTTGAACAGCGCTCGGCTCAGGCCTTCTCCCAGCAGCTTCCCGTTGTCCCGCAGCTCCTCCGGACTCAGTCCTGCACGCCGGCCGCGCCCCTCCAACAGGAACTGCAGCTGGCGCTTCCTTCAGGGTGGAGAGAGAGGAGACACAGTGTGAGACACACACACACACACACACACACACACACACACACACACACACACACACACACACACACACACACACACACACACACACACACACACACACACCACACACACACACACACACACACACACACACACACACACACACACACACACACACACACACACACACACACACACCACACACACACACACACACACACACACACACACACACACACACACACACACACACACACACACACACACACACACACACACACACACACACACACACACACACACACACACACACACACACACACACACACACACACCTGAGGAGAAACAGCGGCAGAGAGCACAGTAATAAAGATTTTGTGCTAACTTAGAGAATCAGCCCTTTGATTTCATTATAGTGTTTATTTTCACTCATTACAAAAACTACACTTATAAGTTGCCTTGATGCTAACTATCACTGATGTTGCTGTCTAATCAGTATGACATCTCATGTGTTTCACCACTGCACCAACATGTTCCACAGGCCTCTGCCAGGATGCTAAAATAGTCTGCAGGCAAAAATTCCACATAGGATAAGATAAGATGTGTGTGCGTGCGTGCGTGCGTGTGTGTGTGTGTGTGTGTGTGTGTGTGTGCGTGTGTGCGTGTGTGCGTGTGTGCGTGTGTGTGTGGTTGATGTGAGTGAGTGTGTGTGTGTGTGTGTGTGTGTGTGTGTGTGTGTGTGTGTGTGTGTGTGTGTGTGTGTGTGTGTGTGTGTGTGTGTGTGTGTGTGTGTGTGTGTGTGTGTGTGTGTGTGTGTGTGTGTGTGTGTGTGTGTGTGTGTGTGTGTGTTAGTCACACATCATGTTGACTAACAAGGTGAAACAAGCTTATTAAAAGTGTAATTGAGTGAACAATAGCTGAGATCTTAACAAATGTAACAAATGATGTGTGAATAAAACCTTGTAAACAACGTTAATATTTTTCTGTTTTGAGACAATGAACTCTATTTAAAGGTCTTTCCCAAAATTGGATCTGTATGCAAGTCATACAGACAACATCAATCCAACTAAATATGTTTTAAAAAATATATATGAAGTATCACATCTGGCTTTTTAGATAAATTAGTATCGTAAAGTATAGAATTTAGTGTCATTTGTGAAAATTAGGCCTATTTAGATAAACAACACCATACTCATTTGTATAAGGTGTTTGTGCATCAGTTACTGCAAAGCAATGGTGAGATGTCCCCGTTCCATATTGTTGATTTTCTCATAAACATTTAACATTATTTAAAAAAAATTAGGTATACATTTATGATCATAGACATCTTTGATTTGCCAAGGCATCTTAAAGTAGAACGATCCTCAAGGAAATGAATCTTTAAACCATGTAATTGTTAATACACCTGTACCCACTCTCCTCTGCAGAACCACCTCGACAATAGGCTCGTTTGAGATGAGCGAGACCGACGCAGACCTGCGCAATTGCGACCGCCGTCTTGCTAGTGCGTTGCATGATGGTTAGTCATGTTGTCCGACTTGCTCTGGAGGCTCGACTACATGAGACGTTGAAATCTCGCGGGACAAAGACACCGGCAGCCTTGAGAGCGAGGCGGAGCAGTTGGTGTTTATCAATCGCGAGTAAAGCTGCTTCAGAGCCACTATTTCAAGCATACTACGTCATCGAGTGCCGCCGAAGTACTGTTCCAATCTCCAGCATACTTGGAAATCTACCGAGCCCGGCGTACTCCGTTTGGAGAAATTTCGAGGCTGCACATGAGTAGACTCCGCGGTCTTAAAATCCCCACAATGCTTTGCGCACGGACCAATTTCCCCAAATCTGTGGCGGAAGATGTAAGGCGGGGCCTCTCATATGACGCACACCTGCACACTTGCTAGCGTGTTCCACACTTCGTTTTCCGAATGCCAGGAAGTATTCTTGACTCGCTTCTGAAGCAAGATGCTCGGCAGACATGTGCTACCAAGCAAGCGTACTCGAGATTGAGAAACACCCAGTTTCTCTCCACGAGCTGCGGAAGCGAAATGCTTGATGGGAAACGACTCGCTGGTATATCGAGCTGAGCGCTCATCGGTGGTTTTTACCGCGTGCTGGTGATGAAACCCTCCATTGGCTCCGCAAAAGTTTGTTTGTGTCAGTTTTACGTCGCCACTTCCATTCACATTTTTCATCATTGTTCCACAATGTTTATCATCATGAAATTAATATCTATATATTTTATACTATACTTGCACTGCTTACCGTTTCCATACTTTATCTTAGCATATTCATACACACTGTTAATACTGTTCATACTGCTCATAGGCTACTGTGTATAGTGTATTCATACCCCTCACTGTTTATTCATCATTCAATTCATTCTATATTTTATTCTGTAGATTGTGTACTTTTCACTTTACTGCTTGTTGCACTCCTGGTTAGAAGCTAAACTGCATTTCGTTGTCTCAGTACCTGTAAAATGTGCAATAACAATAAAGTTGAATCTAATCTTGAGCAGGAACAAATGTATTTACTTAGTACATATCTGACATTAACGATTAAACACATTTGTGCATTCTAAATGCAAACCGAGTCAAGCCGACTCCGAGCTGTCCGACTTCA